CTCTTTCTTTATGAAAACAAAACAAAAGAAAGCAAAACAAACTAAAAGCCAATAGGAGTCACTGCAAGGAATAAAAACATCCTTGAAAATTACATGCATGTGCAATTCAGTCTGTCTCCAACCCTTTATTCACTAGATTGCTCTTTGCCAGGATCTAGAAAGAAGAATTTCAGGTAAGGTGCCCAAGACAACTGAACAGGGAATTTTTGAATTTGGCAAGTGTCATTTCAAGCAGATAGTATCTTTGCTGCTATTTCTCACTTTTCAAATATCTAACCGTAAAAAAAAAAAAAAATTAAAGTGTGGGAATGCTATTTGCTGTATGGCACTGAGAACTGTTCACAGTCTTTTTTTGTTTAGAAGAGTGAAAAGGTAAGCAGAGAAAATAGGAGATGAACTGTACTGACACTAATTATTATTTACAATGGTAGGAATTCTGACAGATATTCTTTTGATTCGGGTAGATCCTGCCATCCAGAAAAAACATTCTCTGCCTCTAAGAGGGTTATATAAATGACTTCAGATAGCACCCAGGAAGTGAAAGAAGTACCTGGTAAATTTGTAATTCTAGTGTCCTACAGGCAAAAAATATCTGTAACCTGCTGTAGCAGTAGGACCAGATGAATGCCGGTCACGTACCACCTACATATTCTGACGTGACCAGGAAACATCTTCGCTATACTTCTCCCACTCAGTGTCACCCCTAGCTATGTATCTGTGTCACAGTGCCACCTAGCAATGGCCTGGTTGCAAGTCTGTCATCTTGCAGAGCATGGAAAATGTCATCTTGCGAACAAACTTAGGTTTTTGGGAGTTCCTTGAATTTTTATGAGTGTTACTTATTTTGTTGTACTGTTTGATGATTAAATGATTGCAAGTTAAAATACCTATGTAGAAGTTTGAATATTTATAAAATGCTTTTTGTGATATAACTATGATTTGAGAGTGTTTACTGCAACAATTTTCCACCAGATATCTTCACATTTTGTAGATTCATGTGTTTTCCTGTGGTAGGCATAGGCTAATGATCTTAAAGAAGGAGCCTGATGTCACAGAACTATTTTGCTAAAATAGATGGAAACCATTGTATTTTCCTCTCTGCTTTGTATTTGCATAATTGTCCCATTTGAAGTTGCCTGGGTTTTAAGAAGACAAATGTATGATGATCTAATGCAATGCTTAAGGTACATGTATAATACTAATTGTTTAAATGTTCTACTGAGATGTCCCTAAGAACTTATTTAGGACTGCAGTGGGCTGTTCACCAGAGAATATTAACTCTGGCAAACAATTTCTTCTAAGTCTGTAAATTCACTGCAGCTTGTGTTTTAAACTTACAATTAAGAATTGAACTTTCTCAAGAAATAAAATCTCCCTGTGATTTACCTGTCATGCAAGGAATGAAATTTAAAACAATCTCTCACATAACTTTCTACAAAACAGCAGAAGCAAACAACTTTCTCTGACAAACAAAAAAAAAAGCTCTCAAAGCCATGTTTAAATAGGATTTAATAATTGCATTGCTATTTTGCTGTTCTTTGTTTATTTTGGGGTTTTTTTTGAGTGTGTGTGCAGACACTGCAGCTTAATGGCAGATGCATGGGTGAAAATATTTTGGACCCATGACTGACATTTTTAAGACTGACTTTATTCTTCACAAGAGGTTCAGGATAATATCAGGATGTTCTTTCAGATGAGCACTCTACAGGGATATGAAAAATGGTGAATGGTGTGCAAACTGAGAGCAAAAATAAAAACATTTTACAAATTAATGCTTTGTTGCTGTTAAGTCTCTTCTTAGGAAAGAAGACATCTACTTACCCTAAACATCTCTTCAAAGAGTTTTCACATGTACCTCAGACTGAGGGCTCACAGCAAGCTTTGTGTGCATGTACTTTTAATACAGTCTGCAAGGTAAATGGAGAAGACAGAATGGGATGGGATGCTTGGGATGGCACAGCATGGGATGGGATGAAATGGGTTAGGGAGTTGCTGCAAGAGAGTGGTGCTAACTAACTGAGATGGCAATTTCCTGTAACTGTCATTTAGTGGGAAAGAAACTTTTTCTATGCTTAGTGCTGGCTTTTATTTTGCACACTAAACAAATGGAAAAAAAAGTCAGCTATTTCTACTCTTCTGGCTGCTTTGAAGTAGGGTATCTGTGCTTAGCCAGCTGATGGCATTTGTTGTTTATTGCCCCCAACATCAAGGTTTACTGCCCACCTTCTCTGTGTGTTGCCTATAGCAGGTAGAAGAATGGTAATATATGGAGCCTATAGTTCCTTCTGCACCCACCTAACATAGGAGTAACTAAACACAATGGACAGAGCCCTGTGCCTCTCCCTGCACAGGCGCACACAGCGTTCCCACTTCCAGCTTCCAGCTTCCCAGCTTCCCAGTTGCAGCCATGTGGTGCAGCCCCTTGCTCTGGCTTGCTCTTCTTTATCTGCCACCAAATGGGCTTCCAAGCAGGGGCTCAGTAGGTATTCATTTTTCCTGGATGATTTTGTATTTTTGAGGGGGGCACAGAACGAGATATTTGATAAACAGAGAAAGAGAAGGTTAAAAAGCACATCCATTTTATTTTTTATTTTTTGAGTAATTTGTGTGTTCTTTCTATCATACCTTGACAGTTAAGAGAAATATCTTTATAAAAAATAACAAAAATATCTCCAGCAAATTCATAACTCTCAAATTTTGCTTCAAATTGTTTTCCTAGTGCTAGTGAACCAGCAAAGAGATGTTGTGCTTCCTGTAAGCTCAGTACTAGATAAAGATTATCTATTTTATTTTACATTTAGATCCTAGAGGATTGTGTTGCTCTTAAGTCATCAAACCAAAAATATTTTAATTGACTATTGAATGTTTCTGAAATTACATTATCTAGGATATTGGCTATTTAATGTAAGAATGCTGATAAGCTTTTGCAATGAGGCTGGTTATACGAACAAACTGAACGCTTTCCTTCAACAACTGTCGATCTCAATGCACCATTTTATAGTAATATGGGAAGCTTAAGAATTTATAAATTTTTCAAATATGGTATCAGACTTGCCTTTGTAATTTCTGTTCTTACTGCTTCATGGCTGTGTGGACTCTAGGCCTCCCACCCACTGAGCTTATTAGTGCAGAGTGAAGGTCAAAATTTGTCTTAAACAGATTTATTTTTTTTTTTAAAAAACATAGAAAAACTCTTACTAGATGAAATATTTCTATTAGTTTCACTCCCCAGGGCAACAACTCTGAGTTCCGGAACATCAACCCAAGGCCAGCTGGAGAAGTGCAATGCTGCCAGCATGTCTTCTTGGAGGATACAGCCAGAGTCGATGGGAAATAGCCCAGTGAAATTATATCACAAATGATAGCTTAGTATCCATACGAAGTTCAATAAATCTCAAATGAAAGACATAGTGGTGTTCTCCAGCCTCCACTCAGCAGGCTATTTAGGAGGTGAAGACTTGTGATTATACAGAAAAAATGCAAGGGAACTTGCACCAATACAAGTAAACTAATTGTTATGGTATTGCTTGCATTTTTTCTGATGCCAGTCACATTAATCACTTGTTGAGCTGAGAAATGGGTTTAAAAAGTATTCTAATAATAGTAAATCAGATAACGGGTGGGTGTGAAGGAATATAGTTACTCTGAATAATAAACTAAGCTTGTTACTGAGATTATTTTAATGCAGACAGATTTCTTCAATCCTGTGTATCACAACAATAGAAGACATACCAAAAACTCTCTGTGCTAGACTATCAGCAAGCACAAAAACATTAGGAAGTGTATTAGACATACAGGTACATATTTGTGTTGCTGGTCTGTATGGTGGGCCCCAAAAAGCCAGTTGCTTGATGTAGGTCAGCTAGAGTACAGAGCTTTCATGACAAAAACAGCCACAATACAAACAGAAAACAGGTGGGCATTTTGGCCTTTCTTCTCCATTGACTTTTATCCTATTTTTAAGCTTACTTTACTATTGTGATTTGGTTTTCTTCCTTGGATTAGTTAAAGTCTCCTTAGCTTGCTAACTTGAAATTTTCTTTTTTTTTCTTTAATTTAAGAATGAAGGAAGCCTGTTTACCCAGCCAGTTTTCCCCAAATCTCAATGCTTTATCTATAATTTAAACGTGTCATTAATGCACAATATCCAAGTAAAACTTTGTGAATTTTAATTAGGCGGGTATAACAAGCTTTCCAATTATTCTGAAGCTGATTATCACCCATTATGTAACGTACACATGGTTTTCACAGCTGTGTAGTAATAGAAAAATCTTAGTTTGCATCTAAGCCTAACAGTATCTAGCTCTGCACCAGATCATTTTGAAAGTGTTTGAAGTCGGCTGCCAGGTGAGAACTGGGCCTCTACTAAAATTCAGAAGACATTTTGCTGCTGCTTCCCTTGCAGCCAAGCTTTCAGCTTGTCACAGGCTCCAAATATGGTTTCTTTTTCTCTTTGCTTTTGCAATTTTCTTCTCCCACACAAACCAATCTTAAACTCATTCAGCTTTATTAGATTTACTCTCAAATCATACTGCTGCAACTGAGAACAGAATCAGACCCAGCAATGCACTTTACCCTCAAAATAATTAGATGAATATTGTACACTTCCCCCTATTACTGTTCAGCTACATGTGTTGTCCGGAGAACCTATATACTGAATTTCCACAGGTTGTAGAATAGAGTCCTTTAGTTTTATAGCAAAGACTACCCTGGTTATAGAGAGCCTTATAAAGACAAAGCACCACACTTGGATAATTAATGTGCATAGAATACACATACAAACCTGAAGTTCTTGACCAGGCAGAGTAAATTTTTCCAATCATCAAACTGTGAAGCTTTTAAAATAAAGTGCTATTTGCTTATGGCTAAACCTTATATGTGGCTATTGCATGCACACTGCAGGCTGCGTTGTCAAAAACTGGAACACCTTCACCAAAAAGGATGGAGCCTAAGCGCTAGGGCAACAACAGGTGTGGTTGTTTTTTGTTGTTTTGTTGTGGTTTTCTTTTTCATTTTATTTTGCATTCAAGCAACTTTTTGCAAACATAGAGCATGTGAACACAAAACAGTTCTCTTCACTATTTCCTGCACAAAGCTGTTCATAGAGGAGGAATTCTAAAGAGGAATGTTTCTAAAGCCATAGGCAGCTTCTCCATTTGTTTTAGGTTTTGTTTTGTAGTTGATTTTTTCTTTTTTTTTTCGTTTTTCTTTTGTTTAATATAACAAAACATTATAAGAAAAATTTTTACGTAGTGTGAATATCAAAGAGTATCTGTCAATCCCTGAATCATGCTATTCAAAGTGCTTAAATCTACACTAAAAATAGAACAACAGAAAAGTACTCCCCATGAGGGATTGCCTACCAATCATCTAAATATGACTGTGATCAGATAGTTGCATCCTACATTTATTTCACATCCCAGTCTTTATGCCAAGTTAAAGAGGAAGGAAAGGGGAAAAAAATAATGCATTGCTTTCATGGGATACTGGGGTATTTGGCATACAGATGAATGAAGGAAAATGCCATCGGTGCCTGACAGGTGTCTGTAGAAGCAAATAAATACTAGCTTTCTTTCTTACACTATGAAAATAATCAAATGTGCAAAGCTCTCTTAAAATTTTATGTGGCCTGGCAGCTTCATTTCCATTTTGTGGATGTTTGGCACATGTCCAGAGGGAGACGCCATAGTAAAGAACAGATTGTAGAAAAGCAAATTGTCGGAGAAATAAACATTTTTAAGCAACTAAAAATCAGTACACATCCCAAAGCTCTGTTAGGTTGTTATGCAGATACTGAGATTTCTTGACTTTCACAACAGGAGCACAGTCATTTCCTCCCACACTGTCAGTTCTGGATTGCTCCCACAAACATCCTCCACACTGCAGTTTACCCACTCTCTACCCATCACTTTTCATTAAGAAGACCAAAGTATTATAAGCTGTACTTTTCTCATTGTGACAGTGAGAAAGCCCCACATATCCATTATATTGGTCAATATTATTTAGCTACCATAAAAATACATAAAGAAAATTAATCACATAAATAGACTATAAGGTCTGTTTGTCAGGATACCAGTTACGTTTCTGCCAGGGCAAATCAAACCCATGACTCTATGACAGTGTGCTGCAACGAGTAACCCCAGCTCCTCTGCTTCTGCTAGCAGAGACTAGCAGAGAGCTTGGCCTGGATATGTTATAGAGATACAACACTGCTCCTGTCTCTTTCTAAAACCAGAAAAGCCTTTTCTGTTGTTTAAAATGCAAGTATGAGTAAGATGCTTATTGCCTTAAAGATGTCCACATATAAATCTAGTGGGGTTTTTTTTCCTCCCTGGCAGCCATGGTACATGCATTATTTACAACTCCTCAAAGATAGAATCATACATAAAAAATAAAACTATTTATTCATTAAAGTGAATATTTTTTTAATACTTCCAGGTCTGATTTAAATATTAATTTTGTATAAATAAAGTTTATTTTGAAAACAATTATATTTGTTGATATTCATGTCATTTTTTTCCTGCCTGAGTTCTCACTAAAATTATTTTGAAATTAAGAAAGTCTTAATTTTTGTTACAAGCTAAAACCAAATGAAAGAAGATTTCTTAATCCTGAATATATGATTTTAAAGCAAATAATACAGGGGTTTTTAAACATTAAAATACAAGGGGACTCTGTAATCCACAGCAAAATAATGTTTTGCTCTTACTTTTTTAGAAAATAACACTTTCTATAATACAAAGTGACAAACCATCTACAACACTGCCTTTTATTCCCCTTTGGTTTGGAAGTCATCACTATAAATATCAGCAAGATATTGCACTTCTGTGCCTATTGCCTCACTTTTCTTATTTGCCTTACAATCGTAAATGGTCTTATTTGCAGGATTTTGAAAGGGGGGGGAAGAAAAATGCTTAAAAATAAAATCCACAACCACATTAATACTTTTCCAGGAAGTGTTAAAAATAGGGTTTGCTTTTATATTTATAAAAGGGATACAATCAACTCATTCTGAAAATAATAATTAAAAAAAAAACAAACAAACCCAAGAAAGCAAAAACCAAACCATCTCTAGTTTCTACAGACTCTGTAGTGACTACTGTGAAGCAACCGATAGAGATTGGGTATATTCTGTTGTTTGACAGGTATCTACTAAGTTACATGTTAGATGATCAGACTGCAGTGTTACCCCGAATGAGGGTCATTGTAAGGGCAGGGAAGGAGCAGTGCACATTACAGGAGTAGAAATGAAGCTGGAGATCTCAGTGAAGGACGGGGTCCTTCTAAGAACAAATATTCTCTGAAAGAGGTGAACTGCAGCAGGCATGGCCTTCAGAAATCAGGCTAGATAGGCCAACAAAATGGATGGTGCTTCTGATATCAACATAACTTTGTCCAAGCATTCCCAAGAGAGGTTAAAAACAAACAAACAGGAAGTCTAAAACTATACTAATGAAGCAAAAAATTTTCCTATCTATACATTAGTCTCTTCATTTAAAAAAATGTAAATATACAAATTCCAATGACATATAAAACAAAGTTGAAAATGCAAATGGAAAGAGACATGGGTAAAACAGGAAGACTGATGCTACAAAGAAATTGCAAAAACCGTATGTACAAGACCCTGTTTTTCCTCGTATGTTAATTGATTGTAATGCATGTTTAACAGCAGCAGTTGAGGATGTAGTTCCAGGCACCGGACTGCAGACTCAGCTCCTACTCAAGGTTGTTGACAGCCCCTTGCATTTCGGTCACCAAATAACACTTGATATACTGGTCTCCCGTGGCAAGAGGGGCAGTATCGCACTGTTTGTGTGAGCCTCTTCTGGATTCTGCTCCCTGTTAGTTTTTGTCTGCGGCCGCTGCCCATTTATAAGTGTCATAGGGATGTTGCAGTAGGTATGCTGGTTACCTATTGAGGTAAGTGGCAGGGTGCCGGTAGGAGGTACATCGTATTCATAGCTTCGATAATAGTGTTTCTGGCGCATCTGTGAATGATATGTGTTATGAAAGGTGGAGCGCAGGTCTGGATGGGCAGTGGCAAGAGCAGTGGAGGTGGCAGCAGCCATGGAAATTGCAGAGACTGTCTGCAGTTCCCCAAAGGGCCCCTGCTCACTAACATCTAAAACCTGCTCGTGTGTGATGGGTTCAATCCTCTTAAAAGGCATTTCGTACTGTAAACGTTTCCAGAACTTGGAATTCAACTTGTTGCATTTTGGTCCATGCCATTTAATGACAGTGAGGAGCTTGATGGTATGTTTTAGGGCCTCAACCTCCTGGTAGTTCATAACTCCTCGCAGTTCACTGCATTCAATCAGTATCACTTTGATTTCACCCGTGACTAACATATTTCGAAGCCTCGTTTCCAGTTCAAAGATGCTCCAGCCTCTTCTTACCACATAATTTGGAGTCATAACGATGATCAGTCGCTTGCTTTGGTCTACACATCTTGCCACGTCTTCAATGTAGGCTACAAAATAAAACAATTGCTGAAAAAACAGTCTAGAAAACTCTGCTCCCATGGGCTTGGGAGAAACAGCAGAGGCAAATCCCTGCTCCCAGAAGAGCTGACATACTCAGATTTACCAGACTGGCTTGGCAGGACATGGTCCTGGGCAACCTGCTCTGGAGGCTCAGCTTGAGTACAGGGCTAGACAAGATGACCGCGAGAGATCCCTCCCTACCTCAGCTATTCCACAATACTGTGAAACATGTATTCCTGCATGCACTATATGTTAGGAGTGCTTGCTCATGAGCCATGGTTTCATATCAATAACTGTGTCTTTATTAGAACAAACATGCCCACCATCATCCTTTCCTTTAAAAAGGCAAAGTCACCCAGGTAGCCAGCAGAGCAGCAACTGTGTGCTTGAGGAGCTCAGTCTCAAACCAAAATTATATGCTAAGATATACTGTAGCCTTACATTCTTCTTTCTTTTCATGCTTACACTACACACATTCACAAAACCAGTGTGGTCTCCTGCAAATCAATGTTCAGTTTGCTATAGATATAAAAAATATTCATGCAGTTATTTTCTGTTGTGCTTTGCCTATACCAAGCGTCCTTTCTTTTTGTTAGTTAAAGATACTGATCTCAGTAGCTGTCTATATGGTTAAACTGAAGTTAAATGAAGAATATACATCAATATACAAAAAAATTACTGTACGTATATTCTAACATGTGAAAGAAACATAAAAAAAGATTTACTTGAACCAGCTGGAATGAATTCTGGTTTTCAGTCTCTGAGAATGTTCCAGTACCTCAACTACACATTTATCTGCACTGGACACTCACAGAATTCACTGCTTTGCTCTGGTGTAGATGTAATACTTAACCCTTATTTTAGTCCAAACATAACTTTTTCCTTCCTGTCTGAATTTCCGTAACAAACAGAACCATGGAAATCTTTCCAGGTAAGATGTCTGTATTCATTCCTAGATATGCAAGGTCTCAAAAAATTTGTGAAAAAATGTTAATTTAATTCATTTCTTTTAATCATGCATGGCCTTTCTGCACTATCTCACCTTCAGTCAACATAATACAAAACCACAATCTTCTTATCTGGGAAATACATATTAAGTATGCTTGGTAGCTTATTTTCACCATTCTGTAAGATAAGGGAGGAAAGATGACATTCTGAAGATATAGAATAGAAAGTATATAGAAAGTAGATATAGAAATGATACTAAACCAACCAGTGCAATCACTGCATTTGCTGTTTAGGGAACACACAAGAATAAAGACATTACTTACTTCCTGTGGGAATCAAATCTCTGTCTGGTATGAACAACTTATATCCATAATGCTTTTCAAGCATATCTGGTAGGATCTCAAGAGCAAATCTTTCTTCTTCTCCAGTTTCTTGATTCCACTGGTCAGGATCCACTTTGGTATAAGATAGATATGCATCGTAGTCTTTGTTGTCTAAGGAAAGAGTGGAAGCAAGTAAGTTGGCTTATTCATTATTCTTGCAGATTTCCTAGGCAATTGCCCAGGAATTACTTCTAGAATTTCCCAGGAATAGTAAACTGTTTAGATAAAATGGCAATCTTTCACCCAGTATGAATCTATTCACCTTTCCTGTTCCACATGGTAGAGGTAATCCTTATTTACACAGATGCATGGGAGAAGGCATCCATATCCATAGACTGAAGCCAGTTTATGTATAAATATTTGTGTAAGGCTCTGTATGGAGGAAATCCACTCTACTGTGAGTGACACCTTGTGAGCATAAAGGAAAAAAGTCACTGAGAATAATTTCAATTCTTCTCTAGCTTTAAAAGGGAAAAGTATGGCAATACCTAAGCTAATGTGCAGTTGTCTCTGTTGCATAGTAAAACCATTTCAGTCTTGCCAGATTTTTACTATAGATTTAAGGGCTGAGGCTGAAATGTTCTAAGAGTATGTGTAGGTTTACTTGTAAAACTCACTGGCTTTCCCAGTCTGAAATTATTGCCAAGCATAAACCTTTGCTGCATCAGCTCCTGATAATGGAGTTTTAATCTCTTGAATTCTGTGTGCTTAAATTTGCAAATTTAATGTTGCATTAATGTACATTTTGTAAACACATTAACAGTGTGTTATTTCATTTCAATATGAGAAATAAATGTGCCTGTTTCTTAAATGTGTTTGGTGTGCCTACTTGAAAGACTGGCTCAAAAGAGCCATCATTAATTTTCATTAGGGGGTCAATAATGCCAAGTGCTCTGGAACTAATTCAGTGGAATAAGAGGTCATGTTTTGACGTGTTGTGAAGAAAGCAGGAAAAAAATCAATGGCAAGAGTAATGAAACGTTAACATCCTTCTAACTCTCTTGACAACATTATGCACAAGCTATCAAGAGTATCAATTGCTTGTAAAAGAGACCCGACTGAATACTCTGCATACTGTGTGTCACAAGCAACATTATATTCAGTCAATGTTGACTTTATTTTGTGAGCCACTCCTTTCCTCATTTTACACCTGTTTGTATTCTGTATTATTTAGAAAAGCCTGCCAAGTGTGTGAAAGAGTATAAGCGAAATCAATGGTAATAATCTTGGTCAGTCCACTCTTCTTTCCAAGGAATCATGCATACTGTGCTCATTAACATTTGAAGATGATAAAATTAGAATTGATTATACTGTTACTATTTCCAAGCTTTCCAAACCCATGAAATGACCGTGGGCTCATTCGCTCCCCTGCATGCTTTTTGTGTGATACTATTTGTTGGATTGTTGTATCCACAGAAAAACAAACACAAAACCAACAACAACAACAACAAAGAAAAATAAGAAAAAAGAGAAGCACCGCCTTCTATGGCTCACTCTTTTCACTATTTTTCTTCAGAGTGTATGTGAAACAATCCTTAACAACAGACAAGCATCTAATGCCTTTAAATAACACTGAACGGATCAAGCATGAGATTACATAGCAGTTTTTTGTTTCTGCAGTAGGACACTGTTAAGCCAGCTACTGAGTTAACACACAGAGAGGTCAAGTGGGAAAAGTATGACAACTGACAAAATGAAGATCAGGTAATGCCATCTTCTGCTGTCACCTTAGCAGTGGTCATAACCATACCATGTGCTTGAAAGCAGTGCTGCTCTGTTGAAAATCTTTGAGTAAAGATGAGAACATATCACTTCTTGAAGGGATAAATAATAAGAAATAATGCAGTATTCAAAATGTTTTAAAGGCTCAGAGTATTGCCTGCTAAGATTGTTTACAAATCCTTACTTAGAGGGAAAATTATTATTGCTATGCCATTGTTTTCTTGCTTATATAAATATCACACTAACCCATTTATTTGACATATACATTTTTCATACCGTGGAGGCAGACAATGCAATATCCTCTATTGTAGAGAACACTTATTACTCCTCTAGTTCCCTAGTTTTAATAGCATTTGAAGGGAAAGAATGACCAGGATCTAGGCTACATCTCACTCACCGGGGGCGGAGCCAGCAGGCTCAGCGGCAGCTGTGAGCGGTTAAAAACCTGCCCAGGGAGCGCAGCGAACAGAGCGGGCCGAGGCAGCTTGCGCGGGCAGGCGAGTGGGGGTGACCGCCTGGTGAAGAGGACTCGGCTGGAGCGCAGGAGGAGGAAGGACTGCTTGCTTGTGCAAAGAGACGTAGATGGACTGATCGACCACATAGAGCATGGTCACCACTCGATCAAAACCTGTAGTTAGGAATAACGTGGGTACCCAGACTGAGCCTTCCTGCGGACATGTGGCTGTGCAGGTCTCTGGCTGCAGTGAATGCCTGAGCCTGGCACTTGTATCAGAGAGCCAGTGACACCACTTGTGTGCGCTGTCAGCAAGTAGATGACCTGCTAAAGCAGGTGGTTGAACTGAGGGAGGACCTAGAAAGGTTGAGACCTATCAGAGAGTGTGCAAGTGAAATAGAGTGGTGGAGCCACAGCCTAAGGCAGGGGCAGAAGGAAGTGGTTGAACAAGTGATAGATCCCCTTCCCTCCTACCCTCAGATAGAAGGAGTAAACTTAAGGGACAAGGAAGTATGGAGGGAGGTCCCTCCTTGGAGAGGTAAGTGAAAATCCTCACAATCCCTTCCTTCCTCCCAGTTGCCCTTGAGTAACAGGTATGAGGTCTTGGAACTACAGGGCCAGGTAAATGGAGATGGAGGGGTAGATCCATCTAGTGAGTCACCTAGGGCTTGTCATTCACCCCCATGCCTTAGAACTTCTTCAACTAAGAAGAAGAGTAATTGTGGTGGGTGACTCCCTTCTGAGGGGAACAGAAGGGCCCATTTGTTGACCTGATCCATCCCACAGGGAAGTCTGCTGCCTACCTGGGGCTTGGATTGGAGATGTTAAAAGGAAACTCTCTGATCTGGTGCAGCCCTCTGACTACTATCCACTGCTGGTTTTTCAGGTTGGCAGTGATGAAATTATTACAAGGAGGGCAAGGGCAATGAAGAGAGACTTCAGGGCACTGGGACAGCTGGTTAGAGGGTCTGGAGGGCAAGTGGTGTTTGCCTCCATACCTGTTGCAAGCAAAGGTGAAGAGATAAATAGGAAGAGACTGCAGCTCAATATATGGCTATGGGACTGGTGCCAAAGGCATGGGTTTGGGTTTTTCAGTCATAGGCTGCTATATGAGACACCTGGTTTGCTGGTGGCAGGTGGGATACATCAGTCCCAGAGGGGGAGAAGGTTTCTGGGGCAGGAGTTAGCAGGGCTCATTGACAGGGCTTTAAACTAGGTAGGAAGGGGGAAGGGGAGATAACTGGGCCTGTTGGGGACAAGCCCAAGAGAAACATGCTAGGGCTTGAAGAATGGCAGACTAGGGAGAACTCTCAATCTATTGTTTCATTTGATGGAAGGGGTAGTTGTTTAAACCCTGTCCTGCAGGGGAAAAAGGGTATCTGGGCAAGGGTTAGTAGAGCTCACTCACAGAGCTTTAGGTTAGATTCGAAATGCGAGGGGGTTGTAGCTGGGTTTGAACTAGTGGGGCAGTGTTCTAGTATTAATGAAGACCAGAAGGCCTCCCGCCTTCCAAGGGTGCCACTAGTGTGCTCTGCTCGCTCCCTGAAATGGCTGTACACCAATGCACGCAGCATGGGGAATAAACAGGAGGAGTTAGAAGTCTGTGTGCGGTCTAATGGTTATGACCTAGTGGCAATTACAGAGACATGGTGGGACAGCTCACATGACTGGAATGTGGTTATGGATGGCTATGTCCTTTTTAGGAAAGATAGATCAGCAAAGCGAGGTGGTGGAGTTGCTCTTTATGTGAAAGAGCAACTAGAATGTATTGAGTTCTGTCCAGGGACAGGTGAAGACCAAGTGGAAAGTCTGTGGGTGTGAATTAAGGGACAGGCTGGTACAGGTGGCACAGCTGTGGGGGTCTATTACAGACCTCCTGATCAGGACGAAGGAGTTGATGAGGCTTTCTACAGGCAATTGAAAGCAGCCTCATGACTACATGCCTTGGTCCTTATGGGGGATTTTAACTACCCCGATATTTGCTGGAAGACTTACACAGCCAATCGTTCACAGTCTAGGAGGTTCCTCCAGTGCCTTGATGATAACTTCTTAATGCAAATGGTGGACGAACCAACTAGGAGAGGAGCGCTGCTGGATCTGGTACTCAGCTACAAGGAGGGTCTGGTTGAAGTAGTGATGGTCAATGGCAGCCTGGGCTGCAGTGACCATGAGATGGTGGAGTTTAGGATCTTGTGTGGGAGGAATAGAATACATAGCAAGGCCACATTTCTGGATTTCCGAAGGGCAAACTTTGGCCTCTTCAATCAATTGCTAAGGGAAGTATCATGGCAAAGGGTACTAGGTGGTAAAGGGGCTCAAGATAGTTGGTCAGCATTCAAGGACCACTTCTTCAGAGCTCAGGATCAGAGTGTCCCAGTGAGTAGGAAGTCAAGTAGGGGAGCCAGGAGACCAGCATGGTTAAACAAGGAACTGCTGGGCAAACTCGTACGGAAAAAGAGAATCTATGGATTATGGAAGGAGGGGCTGGCCACTTGGGAGGAATCTAGGACAGCTGTTAGAGGATGTAGGGAAGCAATTAGGACAGCTAAGGCCTCCTTGGAACTTAATCTTGCAAGTCGGGTTAAGGACAGTAGAAAGGGCTTCTTCAAATACATAGTGAATAAAACTAACACAAGAAGCAGTATAGGTCCACTGCTGAACGAGGTGGGTGCCCTGGAGACAGAGGATATAAAGAAGGCAGAGGTGTTGAATGCCTTCTTTGCCTCTGTCTTTACTCCTGCAGACTCTCCCCAGGGGACCCAGGTTCCTATAGCCCCAGAAGGAGTCAGGATAAAGGAGGAGTTTGCTTTGGTAGATGAGGATTGGGTTAGGAATCAGTTAAGTAATCTGGACATCTATAAATCGATGGGTCCAGATGGAATAAGGAGCTGGCGGAGGTCATTGCTGAGGCACTCTCCATCATCTTTGGTAAGTC